CTGCGCCCGCCGCCTCAGGGCTGCTTGCTGCCCCCCGCCATCGGCTTTGGGGGGGCCCCTGCCACCTGGGGTGTCCCCCTTCTCCCCACCCCCCGGTGATGAATGGGTCCCTGCCCTCTGGGGCATCCTTCCCACCCTGACAGCATGGGGGGTCCCTGCACCCTGAGGAGCCCTGTCCCGCCGCCTAGGGGGCTTGGGGGGGTCCCTGCCTTCCCTGGGGGAGGGACGATAGCCTGTAGTTCTCCCTCCAGCCCCGCAGGAGGTCCTGGGGTGCCCCTGGCTGGGGCCAGTCCTCCCCCTCCGCAGGGCTGTGCTGGGACCCCCAAGCCGGCAGCTGCAGGGGGCGTGTGCCGGAGGGTGCTCGGCGCGGCTGCCCAGGCTGACTGCGGGCCGGGCTCCCTCTCTCCCGCAGTGCCCGCCGGCCCCACATGCGCAGCCTCACGCCAGGCCACCTGCGGTGCCGGCTGCATCCCCATTCCCTGGCTCTGCGATGGCGAGCAGCAGTGTCCCGATGGGACGGACGAGCAGTGCGGTGAGCGGAGGGAAGCTGGCACCCATCCTCTGTCGTGGGGTGGCCTGGGGGGCTGCACTGTGCGGGCATCGAGGGGCCCTGATGCCCAGGGGGGTGGTGGGGCAGGGCAGGCCAGAGGCACCTCGCTCCTTGCTGGCTCTGCCAGTGGCTCCTGTGTGGCACCGTGCAGGGACGTGTGTGCCCCAGAGCTCCTGGGGAACGTCTGTGGCATGGTGACATATCCCGGATCCCAGGCTGAGCGAGGCAGCCCCCCACCTGCCAGAGAGCCCTGTTGTGGTCCAGCCCCTTGGCAGAGCCCCGCGGGCATTGCCAGCACCTGCCCCGTGCCAGGACAGAGGGGACCCTTGTGATTGTGCCAGAGCAGTAGGTCCCAGTGACTGTGTGCTGTCCCTGCAGATGTTGCCTGTGGTGGGGACCCCCACGTTTGGCAGTGTGACGATGGCCAGTGTGTTTCTAGCAGCTGGCGTTGCGATGGTGCTGCTGACTGCCTGGATGGCTCTGACGAGCAGGACTGCGGTATGTGATCTCTGCTGGGGGGGCTGGGTGGGGGTGGCTGAGGGCACAGGGCAGGGTGCGAGTGCTGCTCTGTTCCCTCAGTGTGTGGGGCTAAAAAGGTGCAGTGTCCCGGTACCCACCACTGCATCCCGCACTGGGAGCTGTGCGATCGGCACCAGGACTGCGAGGACGGCTGGGACGAGGAGGGGTGTCCCCAGCAGCCCTGTCTGCCCGGGCAGTGGCAGTGCAGGAACAGGGTGTGCATCATGGCCGAGTGGAAGTGCAACGGGATTGATGACTGTGGTGATTCCTCGGATGAAGATGTCTGTGGTAAGCGAGCATGCTGGATGGTCCTCAGTGCGGTGAGACCTGTCCAGGCCATGTATAAAATAGGGGGTACTTTGCCTTCTTGGGCTGCAGCTCCCCTTGGGATGGTGGGAAGCATCCCAGGAGCATGTCGATGCTTTGTGGGGCCTCCCTGTGAGTCTGGGACCCATGGCTTCCCCTGTGCCTACCTGGTATGGGTCTGCCCTCCTGACATGAGCTGTGTGTGCCATAGCCCCCTGCCCACCTGGCATGGTGCGGTGTGATGAGGGGAAGTGTATCCTGGAGTCACTGATGTGCAATGACGAGGACGACTGCCTGGACGGCACTGACGAGCCCAGCACGTGTGGTGAGTTGTGTGTGGCTGCTGGCCACTGCCCGTGTGGCTGGGGCCGGGGGGAGCCGCAGAGCTGTCCTGCATCATGTCACCCCTCCGCTGCGTCCCTGCAGGTCGGAGCTGCTTTGTACGCAACGGGGGCTGCGCAGAGACGTGCACTGACACGCACTGGGGTGTGCAGTGCTCCTGTGGGGCCGGCTGGGTGCTGCAGGCGGACGGGCAGAGCTGTGCTGGTAAGGAGAGGTCAGGGTGTGCATGCTTTGGGCATGCATGGCCTTGGCCACCAAGAGCAGGGTCTCCCTGGAGCCAGCGCTCCTGCGGGAACGCCCACCTCAGCCCCGCTCCTGCCTGTGTGTCGCGCCTGGCCCCGCAAAGGCTGTGTCTAGGTCATGTCCCAGCAGCAGCTGGTGCATTTTGGGGCTGGGGCCCAGGTCCTGGTATCTAGGGAGCCTGCCTGTGTTTCCTGGGGAGCAGTGTCGGTGCGGTCTGGGGGGCAGCTAGCCAGCTGTGTGGCGGGCTCCTGGCTGTGCCTATCCCCACAGATGTGGATGAGTGCTCCCTGGAGTACAGCCCCTGCAGCCAGCTGTGCAGGAACACCCCGGGCGCTTTCAGCTGCACCTGCCTCCAGGGCTACACCCTGTGGCATGGCACTGCCTGCGAAGTGGCAGGTAGGGTGAGCCGGGGAGCCCAGGCTGTCTGAGGGGCTGGGCAATGTCCTCAGCTAGCTGCGTCCCCGCTCACCGGGTGACGTCCCCCTCGCCCGGGCAGACAACGCGACACAGATCCTGGTGGCCGTGGGGCAGGACCTGGCCCTTCTGGATGTGCGGACCCAAGCCTACCGGCCCCTGCTCTCCACTGAGACCGAACCCCGCGCCTTGGTGTATGACCTGCTCCGAGAAACCTACTACTGGCTGACAGAGGATGGCGAGCTCCACACTCACCTCCCGGGGAAGGGCACGCGGCCCCTCTATGCAGGTGGGGAGGAGCGAGGGCACTGGGTGCCATAGCAAGGCTGAGATGGGTGCTGAGAGCTGGCCTGCCACCCCAGCCCTGCCTTTCCTGTAGAGGAAGGGGCAACCCAGGTTTTTCCTCCTGGCCTGGAACAGGGGTGCTGTACCTTAAACCGCTCTGTCTCTGCAGATGCTGGGGAGGTGAACAGCATCTCCGTGGACTGGTTCACAGGGCAGCTGTACTGGGCCAGCAGCCACCCTGCAGCCATCTGCGTGGGGCTGGGCGATGGCCGGGGCTATGTGACGGTGCTGGGGAAGGATGTGGCACCGGAGCAGCTGACAGTGCATCCGGCTGCAAGGTGAGGAGCGAGTGAGCCAGGGTTGGCCCTGGGCTCCTGGGTGAGCGATGCCAGTGCTGACCGTGTCATGCCTGCTGTGGAGCTGTGGCAGCACTGGTGTTATGCCGTAAAGTGGGTGCTTAGTGCCTGCCCCCAGGTCCCTGTACTGGGTCAACCGCGGGCAGAGGGGCCGGACAGTCATTTCTGCAGCTGGCATGGATGGCTCAAACCGGCAGGAACTCACAGTGGTGTCCATGGAGGAGCCTGTGGGGCTGACCCTGGACCATGTGGCTGGCAGGCTGTACTGGATCAGCGAGTACAAGGAGGTAGGGATGTGGGGCAGGAGGCTCTGCCCCCTCCCAGGTGCTGGGAGGCCATGAGGTGGGAGTGGGGAGGGTGGCCCTGGTTCTCCTGTGGCCACGGCCAAGGCATGGGAGGGAGCAGGGAGCGGTGCCCAGGTCTGGCACACATCCCTGGGCTGGGAGGGGGAAGGCACCACCGTGAGCCCCGTGGCTGCGGGACAGTGCTGGAGTGTGGGGGTGCCACACGGTCACCATGCCTTGCCTTGTCCCCAGTCCATCGAGACGCTGCAGGTGGATGGCAGCGGGCGCCACTCCTTTCCCGCTGTCCTGCGGAGCCACATGGAGCCACTGGGCCTGGCTGTGTTCGAGAGCCGGTTCTTCTGGACCGACGGCACGGAGTTGGTGTCAGCGACCTGGGCCTCTCCCCAGGAGCACGCAGTGTTGCTCCGCGCCCCTGTCACGGCTTTCACTGTGCTGCACGCACTGCAGCAGCCTCCCCGTGAGTACCCTGCCGGGAGCCTGCAGCGGGTGCAGGGCTGGCAGCACCCCCACCGCTTCCCTGGGTGCTAGGGGAGGCTGTGCTGGGTCCTGGAGCTCACCGGGTCCTGCCCGATGGCTATCCTGGTCCTGCGACAAGGGGTTGTGGGGTTGCGACAGGGGGGACATATGAACCTGTAGGAAAGCTGCTGAGTCCCATGGCTTTGGGTAGAGCTGAGCCCTCCTACCTCACGTGACACTGCTGCCCTGCCTGGGGTAGCCAGCCCATATCCAGCCCTGGGACAGCCTGTGGTTTTGGGGGATCGGGAGAGGCATGGGGGATCATGGCTGCCTGAGCTCTTAATGTCCCCTTGCTCCCAGGGGACACTGCTGCATGTGCTCCGGGCCTGTGCAGTCACCTTTGCCTCCTGTCCCCTGTGCACCCTCGGGGCTACAAATGTGCGTGTCCAGAGGGCCTCTTCCTCCTGCCCTCGGGGAAGTGTGCAGGTGAGCAGGGTCTGCGAGGTGGGCTGGGCTGCCTGGGGCAGGATGCATCCCTGCGGGAGTCGGAGGGGGGCTGTAAGGGGCTGTGGCTTTGGTGGGATGAGGTTCCCAGCACACACCAGTGCTGTTATGTTTCTGCCTTGGTTCATGCCGGTGACCCCATCCATTGCCACCAGGGCCACGCTCACACACTGCCCTTGTATCCCGCAGAGCTGTCCATCGTATATGCGTCGGGGAAGGCCATCTCCCTCGTGCAAGTGGGCCCTGGAGCACACAGCAAACGGCTGCAGGAGTGGCGGGAGCCCCTCCACCTGCAAGATGTGGACTGGCGGCGGTCGGTGCTCTACGGGACGGATGACCGTGGGACACTGCTGCGTGTCGTGGGGCACCCTGGCAGGAGAGAGACCATTGCAACTAGGCTGCCAGGTGAGATGCTATGGGGTGATGGAGGGCATGCTCCCCTTCCTGGTGCTCCCTGAAGCCTGAGAATCTCCTGGGTGCAGAGCACAGCAGTCCCATAGTGCCCACACTGGGGCTGTGCCGAGGCACCGGGCAGCTGTGTCCTGGTTTTAGGGGCAGGGAGGAGCCAGGCGGAGGAGCAGGGTCATGGGACAGCCCCATAACTGCTTGCCTGCCTGCTCTTGCTAAGTCTGCTCCGCCCACGTGGACATCCGCTCGGGGGACCTGTACTGGCTCGCATGTAACCGGAGGGACATCGGGGTGATCCAGGCATCTGACATGTCCCCACGCATCCTGCACCGTGCTCGCAGCAGCATCCAGCACCTCTTCTTGGACTGGCAGCGGGGCACCCTGTACTGGCTGGCCCGTGGGCAGCCCCTGCAGCAGCTGAGCCTGGCTGGGGGTGCCCCACGGGATGCCTGGAATGAGACGTGGCCTGGAGACCTGCCTGCAGTCATGGATAGCAGAGCCTTCAGCCTGCTTTGGAGCTCAGCCCTGGGTGAGCCCTGGTGGTGTCTGGGTCCCTACATGCAGCAGGTCCCTGCCCAGGCAGTGGGGTGCTCATGGGGCAGACTCTGTCCCATTGCTGGGCCCTTGGCCTCAGCCATGAGGTCCTTGCCATAGCTGTGGGTTCTGGGAGCACAGGGTGGGCCACGAGGGGTGCCTGTGGGCCCCAGGGCACTACCATCCCTCTGCCTTGCAGGCCTGCGGGCACTGAGTCTGACCAAGCGGCAAGCAGTCACCCTGGCACCCAGCTGGTCCCATGGCCTCGTGGCTGCCTTCGAGCCATACCTGGTGTCGGCAAATGGGACGGCTCTGCTGCTGTGGGACCGGAGGACGCTGGCCCTTGTGCTGTCCCTGCCAGCAGCAGGTGTGCAGGGAGTGGTGGTCTTCGTGGGCTCGGAGCCGCAGGCTGGTAAGAGTGGCCATGGCTCTGTGCCTGGTGCTGGTGTTGTACCTGATGGGGCTGGGTGGCCCATGTTGCTCCAAGCTGAGGCAGGGTGCCTGGCTGCTGTTGGCCATGTGGGGTGCTCTTGGAGGTGCCCGAAATGTGGGGAGGGCACAGCCCCAAATCCAGGCTCATGTTGCAGTGCCTGTGCCTCTGCCAGTGCCACCAAGCAAGGGGTCTGCCCTGCCGCTCCCTCCACCTGTGACCACCACTACAAGGACAACCACAAGCACCACTGCTGCTCGGCCCACCACCTCCACCACGAGACCTATGCCAAGCAAGACCACCACTGCACTCACCACTACTCCTGCACCAACCAGCAAGGCTACCACAACACCAGCCACCACCACCAGCCAGTCCACATCAACCAAGACCACCCCTGTGCCAACCACTGCCCGGACCACACCAACCAAGACCACCACTGTGCAGCCAGTGACCACCAGCACCACCACCACCACTTGGTCCTTGCCAACGAAGACCACTGCCCCACGGCCAACTACTATCACCCAGCACCCAACCAGCCCTGCACGAGTAGTGCCACCTACCCCACCCCTCCTGTCCAGCCCTGCACACCCCCTGACCCCAGTCCCCCACCTGTCCTGTCCTCGCACGCATGTGCCCTGCCGTGACGGAACTGAGTGCGTGGCCCAGGAGTACATGTGCGATGGGGAGAAAGACTGTGCGGATGGCTCTGATGAGGATGGGTGCGCCCAGCTCTGCGACACCCCAGGTAGGAGATGTTCTTCAGTCCCCTGCGCAGCTGGGTCTCCCCGTGCCAGGGTTTCTGGCCGCTTCCTGCTGGGGTTGGTGGGATGGGACCCTGGGAAGGTCTGAGTGTGTTGTGCCCTCTGAAGCTTGTGAAGTGGCATGCTGCTTTCTTCTGAGCTTGGCACTGGGCTGGAGGTGCTGCGAGTCAGAAGGGGACAACAATGCTGGCCTCACTGCTTACCGTGACCTAGATGCGGCTGAGCTGAGACTGCCTCAGTCGCCTTGCCTGGGACCTAGATGCACTGGGATGCACTGACTAGGAGGGACCAAGCCCTGTTGCTGTACTGTGGGGCTATTCTAGGTTGCTGGGGGGCTAGCAGAGGGTCTGGGCACCCTGGCTGCCTACCGCAGGCTTAGCAAGACCTCTTGTCTCCCCAGGGGCCTTCCACTGTGCGAGTGGAGCCGTGTGCGTCGGGGCTGGGGAGCGCTGCGATGGGGTGCCGCAGTGCCCCGATGCCTCAGATGAGACAGGCTGCTGGAGCCCCACACAGGAGTGTGCCCTGCGCTGCGACGCTGCCACCCGCTGCGTCCCCGAGAGCTGGCTGTGTGACGGCCATGCTGACTGCCTGGACCACACCGATGAGCAGGGCTGTGGTGAGACCCTGGCGCTGGGTGGGACAGGGGCTTCTGGGGGTTGCCTGCCCCACAGGTGGGTGCACCAGGCTTCCCGTGGGTCCAGAAGCAGGCACTGCCCAGGGCAACCCGCCGAGTGGCTGGAGGGGCTGTACCCTGCTCAGTGCCATGCCTGGGATGGGGATGGGGATGGGGATGGGGACGGTGCCCCTGCTCAGCCCCGGCCCTGTCTGCAGTGCTGAAGAAGTGCGGCCCGGCTGAGTTCTCCTGCCGGAGTGGGCAGTGCGTGGCCCTGGCCCTGCGCTGCGATGGCGACCGTGACTGCCGGGATGGCTCGGATGAGGAGGGCTGTGCCGTGCCCCGGCCGCTGCTCTGCCGCATGGGCGAGGTGGCGTGTCCCCACAGCGGGGAGTGTGTGCCGGAGGCCTGGCGCTGCGACAGTGCCGCCGATTGCGGGGATGGCACAGACGAGCAGGTGGGTGGGCTGGTGGGGACACAGCCTGTCTCCGCTCGCTCCCAGGAGGGCTGCTGGCCCTGTTCACCCTCTGCTCTTGCAGGGCTGTCACCAGGAGGAAGGGCTGTGTGGGGACCGGCAGTGGGGCTGCTCCCATGGCCACAAGTGCATCCCTGATGTCTGGCGCTGCGACGGAGAGAATGACTGCACAGATGGCAGCGATGAGGCTGGCTGTGAGCAACACCCTGCTTTATCCCCAGTGTGTCTCACCCAGTGGTGGTTGGTGGGTGCCCAGCACAGAGGGAGGTGGGGATGTGTCTGTGCCGAGGCGAAAGGCCATGTGTGCTGGTTGCCTCTTCCCAGCATCTGTGGTGGCTCCAGGTCTGTTGTCCCTGTGGGGTGGTGGCCTTGGGATTAGGATAGCCTGAAGCCAGGCTACAAGCACACAGCTCTGGATGTGGCTGCAGTGAGCCCTGGCCACCCTGTGGGAGCAGCTGCATCTGCCCCAGCTGAGCAAAAGGAGCTGGTGGGCAAGGCTCAGGGCAGCCTTCCTCACATGTCCCTGCAGGCCAGCCTGCTCCCTGCCAGAGTCACGAGTACCCATGTGGGCCGGGAGCCTGCCTGAATGCATCCCTGGTGTGTGACGGCCGGCAGGACTGCGCAGACGGCTTGGATGAGGGGGGGAACTGCTCTGTGCCCTGCCAGCGGTCCTGCGCTCATCTCTGCTACCCCTCGCCTCAGGGCCCTGTGAGTGCCAGCAGCCCTGGTCCAGGGGCTTATCCTGCCATGCTGCCCTGGTCCGGCTGCAGGAGGGAGCCTCATGTGTCCCCAAGAGGGGACCCTGACAGCCCCTTTCCCCACAGCGGTGCTGGTGTGACCCAGGCTATCGGCTGGCCGAGGACGGTCTGTCCTGCATGGACATAGACGAGTGCACAGAGTGGGGTGAGGAAGCCTGCAGCCAGACGTGCCTCAATGCCCCAGGGTCCTACAGCTGCGGCTGTCTCCCTGGCTACCTGCTGGAGCCCGATGGCCGTGTCTGCAAACTCGGTGGTAAGCCCTGGGACAGCCAAGCAGCGCTGAGGGTCCCTGGCACTCTAGGGTACACCCGGAGCTGGTAGGTGCCTGTCCCCCTGTGCCTGCTGCCCACGGGGAGCCTTGTATTCCCGCATATGGCCCTGTCCCATCTGTCGTGGCCTCCCAGGCCCCACTCAGCTGTGAGCTGCTGCTTGCCAGCCCATGGCTGGTTGGAAAATCCATCTGCACTAGCTGGGGAACATGCTGTGCAGTAGGGCTGAGTCCCAGCAGGCTCCAATGCCTGCAAGTGCCATGTTCCCTGCCTGCGTGTGCTGGGGCTGTGGGGCCACCAGCGCTGAGCAGGGTCCGGGTGGCTCTGTGTTGTCCCAGGTCCAGAGCCCATGCTGCTGGTGGCTGTGCAGTCAGAGCTGTTGTCCTGTGGCCTGCGGAGTGGGCACGAGGAGGTGCTGCTGCCCACTGACAAGGACCGCGTTGTCTTCTCACTCGACTATGACCTGGTGGAGAGGAAAATCTTCTGGATGGACCTGGCCACAGAGAGCATCCGCTGGCAGGACTTCGACTTGGGAAAGAAAGGCACACTGGTGAAAGGTGGGCTGTGACAGCGTGGGGTTAGCAGGGCTGGCCTCTCTGTGGCTGTGCAATCTTCAGGTTGCAGTGGGGTGCCAGGCTGTGTCCCCTTGCGTAGAGAGGTGCTGGTGGGAGCAGGGCTGGGAGGAGCTGGAGCTCCTGAGATGGAGGGGACCTGGGCTGGGAGCATCATGCCAGAGGGCCATGCAGCTGTCGCCCCATGGGTGCTGACTCTTGGGCGCATTGCAGGTGTGAGGTCGGACTGTATAGCAGTGGACTGGCTTGGGAGGAACCTGTACTGGACAGATGGGGCAGCAGGGCAGGTGCTGGCCACTCGCCTGGGGGCTGCCTGGCGAGGGATACCGGAGTACACTGTGGTGATGGATGGAGACCTGGACCGGCCCCACTCCCTGGTGCTCCAGCCTCTGGCAGGGTAAGACTGGGACAAGAGGACATGGGGACCTCCTTGCCATCCCTGCCCTGCCCCATTTTCCTCCACAGAGGCAGGCAGCAGGCTGGGGAAGAGTTGGGATGGCCTCACCTGGGTGCTGTTGGGGCTGTGCGACTGGGGAAGAAGGAGCCCAGGCACCTGTCCCTGCCCTGGGTGGAGCTCTCAGTGCATCCCTGGTGGGATGGGAAGCTGCGTGCTGCTCCTCTGGGCTGCCCTGGTACTGGGACGATGCTGTGGCAGGTCTGTGGTCCAGCACCTCTCTTCCCGCCAGGCTGCTGTACTGGTCAGAGGTGGGGAGCCACCCACGGCTGATGGAGGCCACCATGGATGGGAGTCGGCGGCATGTGCTGCTGGCCCAGGGGCTGGGCTGGCCTACAGCACTGGCCCTCGACCTCCCCACCTGGAGGATCTTCTGGCTGGATGAGAAGCTGGGCAGTGTCGGTTCTGCACGTCTGGATGGCACCGGTGTGAAGGTGTGTGGTGCGACTCTGGTGACAGGGCCCTGATGGGGGCCGGGGTGCGCACTCACAGCCTCTCTGCCAGGTCCTGCAGCTGGGCTGGGTCCAGAGCCCCTTTGCAGCAGCTGTGTGCGAGGGCGAGCTCTACTGGTCGGAGAGGAAGGCATGGTCTGTGCAGCGGGTGGACAAGGCCAGCGGCAAGAACAGGACCGTGCTGCTCAAGCGACACGGGGAGCCCCATGGCCTCCAGGTACCTACCTGGGGGAGCTCCGAACCCTGCCGCACCAGCTTTGCTCTGAGTGCGGAGCCACTGGGAGCTGTACCCCTGTCCCGGTGGTCCTTGGGCAGCAGTCCCTGTGGTAAAGAGTCTCTGGTTCTCTTGGAGCATCTCTGCCTCACCATGCTGCCCCTAGCTGGGCCGTGTCCAGGCCTTGGGAGCATGGCACAGTGTCGGTCGTGCTCAGCTCCACTGCTGGGTGCTGGCAGGGCCGTGAGGCTGAGTCTGCCCTTCCCGCAGGTGATACACCCAGCCCTGCGCCCCGTGGCCGCTAACCCGTGCGTGACGCGTGGTTGTTCCCACCTGTGCCTGCTGAGTGCCAGGCACACTGGGCAGTGCCGGTGCCCCGCCGGGCTGACACTGGCCGCTGATGAGACCACTTGCCTGCCCCTCCGTGATTCGGCGTTTGCCCTCCTGGTGTCACCGGCAGCTGTGGCGCAGGTACCATCCTCCAGAGCCAGCCCTGGGGGCTGCTGTCCTTGCTGTTGTCAGGGGAGCGGGGTCCCAGTCCTGGTGCTGCCATCTTCTTGCAGGTCTACCTGAAGGACCTGCCCACAACGGCTGGATCCCATGGCCTTCCCCCACACCGGGCCCTGCCCTTGGCCAAGGTGGGCCGCCTGACAGCCGTCGACTACGCAGTGAAAGACAAGAGCCTGTACTTTGCGGAGGTGGGGGGTGACTCCATCGGGCTGCTGCGCCTGAAGGACTGGGACCGGCTGTCCTGGAAGCAGGCGGTGGCTGTGGAGGGCACGGTGACATCCCTGGCCCTGGACTGGCTGAGCGGGAACCTGTACTGGATCGGGGGGCAGCCGCCCAGCATCCATGTGGCAGCTCCCGGGGGGCGGTGGGCCCTGGCGCTGCTCAGCAAGGGGCTGCAGGGCGCTGCCTGGCTGGCGCTGTGCCCTCGTGCCTCCACCATGTGCTTTGTCACGGCAGGCTGCAACGCGCACGCCGGGCGCCCCGGGGGGGGGGGCCGAGCGAC